CATTTAATTTAACCCATAATTCTTATTTATGTTTAGCCACATGGCTTGGTACCTTTTCTCAGTTCTGCCTTATCATCTTGCTTCCTCTGTATCTGGCTGGTGACTCCTGACTTAGCCTTCTTCTTCCCAGAATTCTCCTCGTCTCCTTATCTCACCTATACTTTCTGCCTGGCTACTGGCCTATCAGTGTTTTATTTATCAACCAATCAGAGCGCCACATATTCACAGTATACATAATGACATCACACATACTTCCCCTTTTCTGTCTATTCAAAAAGGATGGTTTTAACTTTAAGATAGTAAAATTACATATAATAGAACAGTTATTGAGCAAGAATTACAGTTACAAAATCTAGTCTATTGTATTTGGCAAAATTAAAGAAAATATTCTATCTATCCTATATTTGTGAGTCTAAAGTTTCATATTTACCTTTTATCACAACTAAGGAAAACTATAATTATAACTATCCAGTCTTCAACTATATCAGAGACCTCAGAAGGATATAATATTACCTAAGTAAACAGGAAATGCATTGTAATCAATTTCTAAAAATCTATAATGACAGTAACAGCTGCCTGCCTGGACAGTCATCCAAAGTTTCTCTGAAACATTGGGGCATCCACCTTAAGCCAATAGGCCTAGAGTTTTTGTTGCCTCTCCCTATGTCCTGTAGAATATTTGACAGTCTCATCTGTGAAGCAGGACCCTGAAGAACCCTCTGGTCTTGCAAACTTCAATGGTCACCTTCCTATGGGTCCTGCATGTCCATTTTATACAACATACTGTTGAGCCGTTGATGCAAGGGCACTTTTTCCCCAGTGGTTTGCCACAAAGAAAGAAAACTCCATAATGAGTTTCTTCAATGCCCAATATCTTCTCTGAAGTAGATTTGTGCTGCCAGGAGCAGATGTGTCTCAATGTCCAGAAAGTCTAAGTTTTTACATTTTTTAAATGCCATTTTCTGTAGGTCTTTGAAGTGTTTGAAGATTATCTACCTTATTGAAATATATCTATTTATACCTAGAAAACTTAACTAACATGACTATGTTTGACAATCATAGAAGACTACTAATCTGTATTTCTTGATTATCTATTAAAATTGAAATGAGTTACATAAACAAAATACCTTAAACAAGAGTAGAAATATATAGAGAGTATAACTAAATTAACTTTAAATTTGTAATAAACTAAGATCTATAGCAATGTAAAAAATTTTAAACAAGTTGTTTCTCCTTAAAAGTAGGTTTTATCAGCCGGGCGGTGGTGGCGCACGCCTTTAATCCCAGCACTCGGGAGGCAGAGCCAGGCGGATCTCTGTGAGT